CCCCCTTACCCCTCCCCCTTCCCTCCCCCTGTCACTCTCGCGCCGTCGCACTCGCCACCAACCGATGGCTTCCGAAAACTTGAATGGAGTTGGACAAAACGCAAAATGGGCGTGTCGCCACGAATGAGCGCACAAACGAACGAACGAACGACCGATCAGCCGAAACGGCACGCCTCCCTCCCTCCCTCCCTCCCTCCCTCCCTCCCTCCACTCAGCTCAGCTCAGCGAGGCCACAACGGACAGCCCACCGCACCCCAGCCCACACCCATCCACGCCCGATCACCACACACACACACACACACACACACACACACACGCGCACACACACACACGCACACGCACGCACACACCAGCACACACTCTTCACACATCCCCATCCCCAGCCCGCCGCAAGAGCCATGACCTCCCGGCTGGAGGCGGCCTTCCGCGAGCTGGACGCTCGGGAGGCTGCGCTGGCTGCCTTCTACTCGCCCAACCCGTCGCCGGCTCCAACTGCGGCGCACGCTCCTCCGGCTAGGACGCCGGCGGCGAGTCCAGGAGCCGACCTCCTCACTCTGCCCGAGCCGCTGCCGGCCATCGGCGCCGAGGGCTCGTTCCTCCGCGACGGGTCGACGGCCGATGCGTACGTGGTGCCACGGGCGACGTCGCGGAGCAGACACCGCTTTGCCCGCATGCTGGCCGAAGATAGCCTTTCCGCCGCCGTGTCGAGCGAGAACCCGCTGGCGGCCGTTCAGCTCCGCGAGCACAAGCTGCTCATCCGCGACTGCCCGCCCGTCACCATCGTCCACGGCTTCTTTGCCTCGCCCTTTGACGACCTCGCCAACAACCCGTTTTCGCTGACAGACTCGCCCGCCCGCGCCCGCGCCCTGCAGCGCGGCGACGGCAGCGGAAGCGACTCGGATAGCAACGACAATGACGGCGACCGCCGCTCGCGCAGCCCGCTGGACATTGATCCGCTCTTTCGCACTCCGGCGCAGAAGCGCGAAGCGTTCGACGCAAAGTATGCCGCCCGGCGGAGCGGTGCCAAGTCAGCGCCGCGGCCGCGATCGCAAGCTGCTGTCCGCCGCCGGCCTGCCAGTCGCGCTGCCCGCCAGCTCCGCAGCAGTCGTGGCCGCCACCCGCGGGCCAAGTCGTCGCTCGGCCACAGACCGCCATCACGCGGTAGCGCCACGTTCATCACGGCGCCTGGCGCCGGCGGATCTCCAGCGCCCGACGTCCACAAGCCCTTTCTCCATGATCCACTTGCAACTGGCTACCGCCCGCCGTACGCGACGAGGACGCTCCGCGAGGTTGTTCTCGACGAGGAGGCCGATCAGCGGCACCGCGACTTTGACCAGCTGTTTGTCACTGCAGACTCGGCTAAGCGCGACTGGCTCCGGCCGGCCTCGCGTGCCCTGCCTGACGCCTCGGCATCACTTCGCCGCACCTGTCCTGTGCCCGAGTCGTCGGAGGAGCACTCGCCGACAGTGTACTCGCCCGCGACGCCGGCATCACCGTCGCTGCGGCGACTGCGGTCAGACGCGCTCAACACCTCCGAGTCGCTGGCCTCGGTCGGGACAACAAGCTCGGAACTTGACGCCACGCTCGTTTCCATGCCGGCCTCGCCGCAGTGGCAAGTCCGTACCGTTGTCGGCGTCGAGGCTGTGGCGCAGTCGTCGGCAGCCGAAATCGACAAGGAGCTCGCGGCGCGCAAGCTCCAGTTGCACACCGCCATCAGGGAGGCTTTCCATGGTGGGTCTCTCGCCCGCAAGACCTACGCAGGTATTCGAGTCGATGAGCTCTTCTCGAAAGTCGCCACCGAGCATTTGCACGCCCAAAACAAGACCAAGTTCAAGTCGGCAGCCCACAAGCTGCTCCAACGGCAGCGCGCTCGCCGCGGCTCGGTCAATCTCAAGCGCCCTCCAGCCCTCGACTCATCGCCGCTTCGTCCGCTTGCTCCGCTCTCACTCCGCACCCGCTCCGACTCGGAATCGGCGCTGGCCGCCGTGAATGCGCTCGACTCGGACGACCTAGCTGTCGATTCGACGATTAAGGCCGAGGCCGATGACAACGCAGCTATCGATACCAACGCGCTCCGCAGGTCGTCTATGATGGCGGCCACGTTCTCCAACTCGTCGATCGAAAAGCTCAAGCAGCGCCGGAACTCGAGTCGTCGCGGCTCGACGGCGGCGGCTATGGTGGCCTCGGGCGTGTGGTCGATCGACATCCAGCTCCTCTCGCCGCACCTGGCCGGCCTCCGCGCCGAGGCGAGCGAGAGCGGCCCGCGCGATCTTGTTTTCGCGCTCGACGTTGCGGCCACACCGCCGTCTCTCCACGACGCCGGGTTGTACTCGTTCCGAATCATGGCCACGTCGCAGATGGAGCTCACCACCACGGTGTTCTCGGTCGAGGTTGTCGACGACGACACCCGGTCGCGGACCATCATGCGCCCGCTTGGCTACAACCCGGCCAACTCGCTCCTTGTCCTCCCGCAAACCAAGGCGACACTCTTGAGCTTGCCAGACCTCCTCCCGTGGGTCACCACGCCGGCGCAGCTGTTCGGCCGGCGGATCCAGCTCCGCATCTATGCGCAGCCGCCGTCGGCGCGCCGCGGCTCAGTGGCGGCCGCCACCCTCGCGTCGCTCAGAGGCGGGTCCGACAGCAACTTTGGCAGCGCCGCCACCACGAGCCCCAGCGGAGCGCGACTTGTCTTTGAGGCTGGCCTCCTATTTGTGCCGTCATCGCAAGCGTAAAGCCGCACACAGTACGCGTTTATCGAGTTGTATCACGACAGCAGCGGGACGAGGGCGGCGGCGCGTTCCTGGGCGACCGCGACGCACTGGGCAATGGCATCGAGGCTCAGCGGAGCCTTGCCTGTCTTGACGGTGGCGAGAACGTTGCCCGAGTAGCCATCGAGAACAATGCCGACCTTTGCAGAGAGTAGCACCTCTTCTGAGGCGGTGGGGTCTGCGATGAGGTGCGAGCCAAGGAGGCCAAAGGTGAAGGAGAGCGGGAGGGTGGGCACGTTGCGCAGCGTGCCGATGTCCATGGCCCGCGACTCCGCGCCGTCGTTGACATAGACCTGGCCATCTGCGGCGTCGACGTCGACAGCCGGCAGCTCAAACGAGGCGAGGGCGGCGACAGCAGCGAGGAGGGCGGCGTCGTCGAGCGAGCCCGAGTCGTCGAGGACGATGACGTCGAGGTAGAGAACCCAGACAGCGACGCCCGGCTCGATGCACAGCGCATCGAGCGCGACGCCCGATGCGTTGCCGAGGAGCACCTCGTTGAGATGGCGGGTGAGGACCTGGGTCCGGTCCGACGGGCGCCCGGGCTCAGCGTCGGGCGAACAGAGCGGCGGGAGCTCTGCGTTGACCACCAGCATGCCTGTGGACGGCGCGCCTGCAGCCGGCGGACCAACCTCGGCCTTGACTCCAGCCATCACTGCAGTCTCGCCCACCCGCACAAGCGCAGAGCCGACCGTTGATGAGGCAAGCACACCGCGGGAGACCGCCGCCGCACGGAACTCCAGCAGGCCGCGCCCATCCGGCCGCACCGCCGCCGCCAGGAACTTCTCATGAAAGTCGAGCGGGAGGAGCTTGCGGAACGAGTCTACGTCCAGCTTGGCCGCCATGTTTGTGTGTGGTGTGGGTGGGTGGCGAGGGGAGGGTGAGGTGGCGTGTGGGAGGGGGAGGGGGAGGGGCAGGCGGCAGGGAGGATGACCTGTGATGGGTGGCGGTGGCAGAGGAAGGGGGATCGGGCCAGTGGGTGGTGGCCGGAGGCAGGCGGGCTGAGCTTGGCTCAGCCACCAGTTGCTGGCAGGCGGCAGGCGGTGGGGGATCGGGATGGGGATGGTGGTAGATGACTAGAAGGCGGTTCAGTGGGAGGAGGGGGGGGATGGGGATGGAGGTGGGGATGCGGGTGGGACGGTCCACCCAATCCATGGCCAAGCCAGATCCGATCCTGACCCCTTCCCGACCCCACTAGCCCAGCCAGTGCCAAGAGGAGACAAATCAACTCGTGGCGCTGCTGCTCGCTGCAGCCGATCGACCACCAAAGCCCTTGTGTTGCTGCTTGCGGGTCAGGCAACGCTGCTGTCATCGGAGCCTGAACTCTTAAATATCCCCCAAAGTCACCAAAACCCCAACGTCGTCACACCCGCTCGGCAGCCCCTCCTCCCATCGCCCAGGCGGCATGCACTCACTCGCAGCCCACATGCCCTTATTTACAGCGCTGCTCGCAGGCAGTCGAGCGCACGTTCCATTTGATGGATGCGTTCGACGACAAGGCTGTGGTGATGCGGGATGTTGCACGGCCAGTGGGGAAAATGGGCGGCACTTTCGGCATTGGTGGCACCAAGTCGATGTTAAAAACCACAGGTCGACACAGGAAGGAGGGGGGTGGTGTCGGAGCCCAGCCGAGGGGGGCACCACCTCCACCGCCCTGTACAGCCGGTCCCAGGACTCTAGAGGAGCAAGAAGAGTACTTTTAGCAACCGCTCACACACGGCAACCCCACACGCTCGTCCCAAAGCCCGTAAAGGCTCCCACTAGCCCACTCGCACCTCGGCGGCCAGCCCGCCGTAGGCAGCAGGTCCATTCTCCCCCCCCCCCCCCTTGCGTCCATTGCGAATTTTTTGGGCCTTCTCGAATTGCCAGCAGCAGTCGGGCAGAGGCAGGGGAGGGGACCGACAGAGCGCCGCCGGGAAGGGGGGTACGGCCTCCGTCAAGCCTAGTCAGACAGCTCTTGTCTTGCCTGAGAACCAAGACGAGTGCCCTCAGAGCTAGCAACCAAGCGCAACCGTGCTTGCCTCCTCCTGGCTCCCTCCGTCCCTTACACCCCCCCCACCCCCCCCCACTCCCACACACACACCCCTCCCCTCTCTTCCCGCCCTCGCTCCTGCCTCGCGCCGACCCCCCCCCGCCGCTGCACCCCCCCCCCCCCTCGTCCCCCCAACCTTTCCCTCGCGGCGTGGTTCTGCACCGCCCGCTTGCACCCTGCACCAACACCCCGCAGGTCGTGCACAGTGGTAGAAGTGCTTAACGCAGTCTAGTCTCTCGTCCAGGGCCCGGTCGAGGCAGCACTCTATCCCCTCCGTCCCCGTCCCCGTTTCCCTCGCCGAGGCAGGGCCAACTCAGCGGCTAACGACGGTCAGACGAGGCAGGCCGACAGACTCTTGGACACCTGGTGACTAGACCACCGACAAGTCCAAGTCCAAGTCCAAGTCCAAGGTCAACGGCTTCACCAACACCAAGGCAAACGCCAAGACCTACGCCAGCGCCAACGGTCATGAACAGGAGCAACTCCGATGCGCTCGGAGGCGACCAGGCAACCAGCTCACGCAGCGGTCTGCCGCTCATCATGCCCAGCTTGCCGAGTTCGGCAAGCACGGCAAGTTCGGCTGGTATGGCAAGCTCGCTGGGGGAAAGTGGCGGCAACGCCCGTCGGTCACTTATTGTCCCGCGCGCTGGAGCGCTGCGTGGCGGGGCAGAGGGCGACAGTGCCTCTGCACCCGCTGCTAGCACAGGAAGTAGCTCGGGTGGGCTCGGCTTTGCGCCGCCGCCTGATGGCGAACAAAAGCCAGCGACCATGATGGTGGTGTGCCGGCACGTCGGCTGCGAGTTTCAGCCCAAGTTCCGCAACTTTGGCGAGCTCAAGAGCCGGCTCCTCCGCCACGAGCGGTCGATCACCATCCACGACGACCACTTTCGGCAGCACCACGATGATTGCCCCACGTGTGAGGAGCTCATCCGCCAGGGCGTGTGGTGCGCCGATGGGTCGACCAACTTTAGTGGCGGCGTCGGGCGCGATGCCTGTCGCCACGAAGGCTGCAACTGGATGACGAGGGCAGTAACCCACTGGAAGCGCAACGAGGCGCGGCTCCGGCACGAACGCTCAATCTCGGCCCACCTTTCCCACGTCCAGGCCTCGACCGAAGTGCTCGACTCGGAAGAGTGCTGTGCCACCTGCGCCGCCCTGTTTGCCTCCGAGGTGTGGGCGCTCAACCCGCTCCGTTGCACGGTGACCGGCCCGCCGAGCCGCGGCGCAGGCAAGGCCGGCGACACCTTTGTCGACCTCGTCGACCCGCCCGAGCTCACGGACTTTGTCGTTCCGAAGCTTGCCCGCGGCGCCGCCCACGGCGACCCGCCGGCGCCGGGCATGGTGGCCTCGCTCGAGGAGCTGCGCCACCACTTTGTGCGCCCGAAGCGGTCGTCAAGCAAGAAGCGCAAGGCTCCCAAGGCTCCCCGCCGCGCAAAATCCAAGATGCGCAAGATCATCTCTGGTGCTGCCCGCCGCCTCGATGCCGACAAGGCTGAGGACGGCTCGCCGAGCGAGGCCGCTCTCCATGTTGTTGCCACCAATCAGCGCACCGCAGGCCTGCTCTGCACCGTCTTTGGACTCCTGGTCTCGTCGGGCACCCTCACTCTCGAGCCCGTCCGCGCCCTTGTCTTTCAGCTCGTTCGCATCGCCCACGCTTTCCACGCAGAAGAGACCCCGATCACTGCCCAGCTCGACCTGCACTACGTCTCCATCGTCTCGCCCATCGTTTTGAACGCCGAGGCCGCGTTCAAGCAGGTCCCAGCCCTCGCCCAAGTGTGGAAGGGCATGACCAACTGCCTCGACCAGATTGCTCTCGTGCACTCTCTTCACGAGTCGAACGAGGCTCCGGCAGGCCTCGCTCATGCCATCCCCGTACCCGGCACGACGTCGGTGCCGGTAGGCGAGGCAGCCATCGTCAACGGCGACGATGACAGCAACAACAACAACATCAACAACAACATCAACAACAACAACAACAACAACAACAACAACAACAACAACAACAACAACAACAACAACACCGCCTCACAGGTGTCTGGTGATGATGATGCGAACGCTCTTATCGCCACCGACGACGATGACGGCGGTATGGCGGCCATGATCGAGGCCGCCGCTGACCTTCCGCCCGTGCCCGTGGCCGTGGCGGAGTAAATGACTAACCGACTGGTGGCTTCTCCCAGCGGTTTTACTTGCGCGGCCGCCGTGGCTCGAGCTCAAGAGAGAGCTCGTACGCGTCGTCGGCAGAGAGCAGTGCGTGCGGCGAAGCCGGTGCAAGGATGTCCGGGTCGAGGAGGAGGACAAGCCGCGCAAGAACGGCTGCGGTTGCCTGCGGATTAGGTGCGGCTCGGACCAGCGGCGCCAGCCGCGGCAGATCCGACACTGGCCGCGCTGCAGGCGTCGGAAGCTGAGGGACTCGGCTCCGTGGGACACCGGCCCACTCGCAGAATCGGTCCTGGTGACCGATGAGCTCCTCGTGGACAGCCGAAAGGAGACGCCACTTGCGGACGTTGATGAGCCGGAGTGCACCACACGCCGACGGCAAGTACGTCGGGTTGCCGTCGTCGATCATCGTCAGGTCCGTGAGGAACATCCCGAGGTACGGGACCGGCGGGTGGTCGAGGTCCGAGATGGCTAGCGCCTCGCGAAGGTACTTGTACGACTTGGCCTGCCCCGTCAGCGTCTTGAGAACCTCGTGCTTGGCTATTGCCACCTTGGGGACCAGCGCCCACGCCTTGCGGGTCCGCTTGACTTCGGACGCCGAGAGCCCAGCCACCACCTCCATCACGCCCGAGTAGTTGCCGAGCAGCCGAAGCTCGTCAGCGAGCTCGATAAACTTGGTGAGCACTCCGCCGCGCGCCTTGGCTGACGACTTGTGCGAGAGCGCGGCCGAGACCACCCACCGTGAGAGCGCGTTGAACAGGCCGATGAGCAGCATGACGTTGGGCGCCGCAGTCTCGCGTCCGGGCTTCGACCACGCCAAACCTGCAAGCTCGCCGTGGACGTCGACCCGGGTGAAGAGCACGCCCTCGAGTATCGTCAGCGCATACGCCACGGTCGGCGGGTCAAACTCGTCCAATAGGCCGAGCAGCTGCGCCCGCGACGTTGCGTCGAGGCCCGGCGGCTGGAGCCCGTACTCGGGCCAGAGACCGACCGTGTGCGCAACAAGGTCAAACCGCGACGGCGGGAGCGACGCGTCAACTGCATCGAGCGCCGCCGAGAGCCGAGCCGCCAGCGGCACGAGCCGAGCCGCCTGCAGCTCGCCCACAAGCTCGTCGAGAGAGGTCCGGATCGGGCCTTCCTTGAGGTACTCGGGCGCCTGAGCACCCCACTCGGCCATGAGGCTCACCACGTGCTTGATGGAAAACATGTCCGAGACCGCAACCGCCGGCGCGGCCGGGTCGCCCTCAGGCGGCGCAGCCTGTGCCAGTGTGTCAAAGACCGGGCCAAGAACCTCGCGCCGGACTTCGGCCACGTCGACAAACGCGGTGCACGACCGGAAGAAGGCGGCCGCAAAGAACCGGTCGACCGCCACGTTGTACTTGATGTCGAGCAAGAGTGCCACAAGCGCTGTCGATGAGCCAGCAATGATCCGGCCGGCCTCGTCGATGAGGTACTCGTTGTCCGGGAGCGGGACAAGGGCGTCCGGGACCGGCGGCTCGCCTGCGCTCCCATTCCCGCTCCCGCCGCGAGCTGCCATTAGCGACGAGATCGAGCGCGGGCGTGTCCGTCGCGACGGCGACCCAACTTCGACCACTCCTGCGCGCCTCAAACGGGCCTCGAGCGCCCGCTGCTGCGGGGTCGACGACCGTGACGGGGACGCCGGCGACGACGGGGACCTCGGCGTCGTCGGCGGCTCGGCAGCGTCGGGCGAGGCCGTCGACGAGCCATCTCCGCCGCCAGCCGGAAACTCGATGTTGCCGAGGATGTCGTTGAGCGCCGATGCCGAGTGTGAGCGCTGGCGGTTGGTCCCCCGTATCGACGAGCGCCGTCGCCGGCGCGGCATCCGCCGCGCAGCAACACTTGTCACTTCAGGCGCATCCTCGGACTGAGGCTGAGGTTCGTCCGCCGCTCCCGCCGGCTCCTCCATGACAACGGCGATGGCTTTGCGCAGCCGCTCGTCGAGCGGCGTTGCCCGACGCGGGCGCGCAGGCACCAGCGGTGGCTGCGGCCCAACTCCGAGAGTGAACCGCTTCGGCCGTGGCGGGCGCTGTGGTGCGTGGACCGTGACTGACGCTGCGCGGATGCGGCGGGTCTCGGCAGCAAGGCCGCGACGGGTGGTGGGCTCGGCTGCCGACTTGCGGCGTGATCGCGGCGGGAGCGACGGTGGCAGCAGCTCATCGCTCGTAGCTGACGGGCCAGCTGGTGCCTCGGCCGGCACAGTGTGGATGTGCGCGACCGACGCACGCCGCGAGGCCGTCGCCGCCGCCAACGCGTCGATTAGCTGGTTGAGCGTGGCCACAAAGACGGACCATGAGTAGGCTGGGAGCTGCGCGGCGAGCCCGCCGTGGGCCACAAGCTCGACTCGAGTCAGCGCGTCGAGATGCAGCCGAAAGTGAAAGGGTGTCGCCCCGGGATCCGACAGCGGCTGAACTCGAGTAGCGATATTGAAGGGAAAGACGCCAAGGCGCTCGGCAGCCGGAGCATACGACTCGGTGCAGGCAATGGACGAGTTGGAGAGCGAGAGGGAGACATGGCCGCGTCCGCCGGCATCGTCAAACACAAACTGGAAGGGATCCGCTAAGATGGCGGCGTTGACCGCCCTTGCCAGCCTGTCGCCGAGCTCAACCGGGCCCGGCGCGGCGACAACCAGCGGCTCGAGCTCGGACTCGTTGTAGTTGTCACCCGAGGACGGCCCGCCGAGCGAGACCGAGGCATGCGGGATGAGGCCGACGTCGATGACAGTCGGAATGTACGACTCGCCGACGGCCACGTTGTATCTCGGTCTCAAGCGGGCCGCAGCCGGTTTGGCAAGCTGTGGCCCAGAGTGATCCTCGGCCGGCGGCGGGAGCATGTCCCACACAATCGAGACAGAAGACAGCGGAGCGCCCACGAGCGAGAGCCTCAGCAACAGCGGCGAGTCGACGAGAACATCCGGAAGAGACGGTCCGATGAGAGCTGCAGCAGTCGCAGCCGGAGGAGCAGGACCGACTCTCAGACCATGAAGTGAAGCCGAGCGAGCCCAACCCGAGGCGACTGAGCCATCAGGAGCAACAACAAAGGGCGTGGCTCGGACAGCGAGCGTAGCGCCCAGATCTTGTTCTGTCAACGTGTATCGAGGATCATCGCTAGGAGGACCGACAGCCACGCCTGTTCGCAGCCAAACAACTTGAAATCCGGCACCAGGTGTGCTTCCTGGTGCGAGGACGGCAACTGCCTTGATTGTCATGCCCACCGCCAGTTCGCTCACTCCTTCACCCGTCGCCGCTTCCACCACACTGAGCGAGACAACCTCCACCGGACACGCACTCATGGCCACACACAGACACAACACACTCTCTCACACACTCTCTGTACACACTCTGTGTGTGCCTGTCTCTCTCTCTCTCTTGCCCTTCTCTGTCTCGTCCCTCGACTCTGCCTGCTTCTCCTCGGCCTTCCCCTTCCAACCGCCTTGTCGTCGGGATGTGAGTGGGGTACCGCCTTCCGGGGAGGGGGTAGAGCGGGGGCAGGGAGGGGAAGCGGCACGTGAACTGGTCGGGGGGTGGGGGGTGGGGGGTGGGGGGTGGGGTTGAAAAAATTGGTGAAGGGGGGGTGAAGGGGGAGCGGCATTGAATAGGCCGGCGTACGGGCTCGTAGGGACACTAGAATGCTAGCGATCACTTGTCTCGCCAACAGCTCGCAGACGCAGACGCAGACGCATCGCTTGTGTCGTCAAGTGTGTGTTGCATGGCAGACAAGACTGCAGCGGGTGCAGCATCGGCGGCGGGTTTGGATGCAGCGGGCGTAGTGGCGGTGGCGGATGTGACGGTGGTGGCGGGTGGCGAGGAGGCTGCGATGAGCGCCGACGCTCTGGGCCTCCCCACGGCGTTTGGTGGCTTCAAGTCGCGGAAGAAGAGGCGGAGGAGGCGGCCGCATGCTCGTGGCGAGCGAAGAGTGAGAGCCAAGGGTGTAGACGGAAAGCCTGTGGTGCCTGGGGTCGGTGATGACGAGCACGGCTCGGCGAGCGGGGATGGTGGCCGTGCGGGCGGCGAGGACGACGACGGCGGTGGCGGGGACGGGAACAGGGACGGAGACACCAACGTAGAGGGGGATGAAGGCGAAAAAGAGGCAAGCGAGTGTATTCCAGTGTGGGATGCCGCATCGCCGCTGCACAAGTACTGGCGGCAGCGGCATCGGCTCTTCTCACGTTATGATGAAGGGGTGCAGATCGACGACGAGGGCTGGTTCTCGGTGACACCCGAGGCGCTGGCGGCGCACACAGCAGGTCGGATGGTCGGCACGCTGGCGGCAGAGACTGCGCCGCGGGCGCCAGTCATCTTGGATGGCTTCTGCGGGGTAGGTGGGAACAGCATCCAGTTTGCACTCGCCGGCGCCTGGGTCATCGCCGTCGACAACTGCGCCGAGCGGCTCGAGGCCGCCCGCCACAACGCCAATGTCTACGGCGTTGCTGAGTTCATCACCTTTTGCCTCGGTGACTACTTTGATGTCGCCGCGCGGCTTGCAGGATCGCCCCAGCCGGTCGATGGCGTGTTCCTCTCGCCGCCCTGGGGTGGGCCGGGCTACGTCCGCAGCCCGCACTTTGATGTCAACACCGATTTCCCGGCGCCGCTCACATGCGCGGCCATCATGGCTGCCGCTCGCACGCTCTCGCCACACATTGTGCTCTTTCTCCCCAAGAACTCAATTCTCGACTCGATCGCGCGCCACGTCCGCCCTGCCGACGCCACGGGTGCTGGGCCTGGCCTCGAGATCGAGCGCAATCTCGCCTTTGGAAAGCTCAAGGCCATCACTGCCTACTATGGTCCCTTGCTCCCAAACGAGTCGAGCTCGAGTCCAGCCGCTGGCCCGAGCGCCAGCCCCACCGCCAGCCAGCTCGCGAGCGGCTAATCATCGACTGCCGCGGCCGAGAAACCCAGCCACATCAGACAAACGATTGCGGGCTGGTGGGCACATGTCCTCGCTGGGGCCAAGCGCAGTGGGTCCCGTCCAACCGCACCTATGCAGCTCGAACATGAGCTCCGATCGTATCTTCAGCCGTGGTCTTCATCAACCTGACCTGTGCAACTGATGCCTTGGCCCGCAGTCATCCGACATGGGGTATTGGGGCCCACTGCTGTGGAACCCATCCAGTCGCGCGTGTGCAGCTCGAGCATAAGCTCCGATCGTCAGCGCTAGTCTCAATCTGACCAGCAGTAGTGGCCAGTGGCATCAGCGTGGCCGTGTCGCCCGCGTCGCCAGCTTCCGATGCCAATGGTCCAATGCTTCCACACGTCTCGCCACGAAAAGAAACGAATGGCGTTGCAAGTGGGCCTCCTGTTGGCTGCCATGCTGGTGGCCACGGCAGCACACGCTGCCGCATGGGGACAAGCTGACCTAGCCGCCCATCCCTTTGGCTACCCCGTTGGTCCTTCTCTCGGTACCTTCCCCTTTTCGCCCTCCCTGCCACTGTTCCCCCCCCCCCTTTCCCCCGCCAGCGACTCCCGTGTGCGTGCGTGGATGTCACCTGTGGGCTTTTCTCCGCCACCGCAACCCCTGCCCCCCCCCCCCCCCGCCTCCCTTTTTTCGTGTCTTTTTTTTTTCCTCGTGGCCATCTTAGTCACCTGCTTACGTATGCGTACTCACTCACCACGCACATTTACCTGATGATCTTGGCTCTGGGGAACGGCCGCGGTCTGTTTGGTATGGGCTGTCATCGGCGGTATTATTTGCCATCTACAATGTCACGCTGCTCATGATTGCTTGATCTGTCACTCGAGACAGTGGCGGGCGACGGGACCACGTTTCCTGCGACGACGCTGGATCCGTGCTCGGAAAAGACGTTCACTGTCTTTGCCAATGTCACACACCTGCCCGAGTACCTCGAGGTCCAGGTCGAACTTAGTAGCCCTGCTGTGGGCACCAACACGGTGACCGTGCAGATGGTCCGCGCGCTGTCGGCTGGCTCGAGCGACGTCGTGCCGATTCCGGAGCTCGTGTGCACGGTTGCGGACGGCAAGACACAGTGCAATGCGCCGCTACGGGTGGCGTGCCAGTACGCGGCGACCAACAACTCGGTCTACTACGTCACCGTCTCGACACAAAGCGACGGTACGCTCCCAGTCACTTTCACCCTCAGCGCTAACGTCGACTCGGTGACCATCGTGCCGATGGCCATCGACAAGGCTACGAGCGCAACGGCCGCCCAGCCGACGCCGACCATCCTTGCCCAGGAATATATGTTCTTCTCAGTCGACATCGACGCCAAGGCCATTGCCGCTGGCTCGCAGCTCAACTTTACCGTCCACCAGGCTGCCGCCAACCAGTTTGCGGCTGCTTATATCAACCACGATGCACTCGCCTGCGCTGAGGGCGTCGCATGCTCGCTTCCTGTCCACTACTCGGACGGATGCACCTTTGCCGGCAACGCAAAGTGCACGTTTTACGTCGACACCTGTTCGCTTGTGGCCCACGGCGCCGGCACGTACGTCGTCGCCCTCAAGGTCGCCACCGCAGGTTCCACCTTTACCATCACGCCTGGTGTCTCGCAGCCGGCTGTCATGCCGCTTCGGTCAGGCGTGCCAGTCGTTGCCGCACTTCCGGACACCAAAACCATTGCACTTTACTACCTCGATGTTCACGCTCCCGTCGACGTCGCCACCCTGACTATCGAAGTGACCCAGGTCGAGAACGGTGTCGTCAAGGTCGGTCAGGCGTTTGAGGCGCTGCCGTTCGAATCCTGCGCCACCCACGGTGGGAGCGACACCTCGGTTGTCTGCGCCGCCGCAGACGCCTTTTGTCACGCCACCACCCAGGGCTGCAAGCTCTTTGTCGGTCGTTATTACTTTGGCGTCCAGGCAACAACTCTCAATGTCGCCAACCGCGACGTTACCTATGTCATCGAGGCCACCGCCGTGAGGCGCGATGGAACCATCCGGCTCTCGTCGGGCGCGCCCGCGCTGCCGCAGACTGTCCAAGCCACGGCGTACAAGTTCTACGAGCTTCCTCAGAGCCGCGGCGAATGGATGGACGTCCACCTCTACCTCGACTCGACGCCCGACCTGCCGGGCCTCACGCTGTACATCAATCCCGGCGCACTCGCCGGTGCCGGTCCGCAGTCGGCTCTCTGCTACGACCACGTCCAGCACTGCTCGGTAAGCGCAGGCAACAATCCCGGGTGCACCCTTCAGATCTCGCAGTGCGACCTCGGGTCTTCCCCTTGGTTTGCGTCGGTCGTCGGCAATGTGGGCAACTTTTATGGTGACCCCATCGCGTACACTATCGAGTACTCAGTCCGCTCCGCCATCGCCCTCTCGCCTGGCTACGTCAAGCCACAGTCATTTGCCGTCAAGGCTGGCATCTACGACCATTACGTCATCAACGAGCCGTGGCTCGGCAAGGAAGTTGTCGTCGTCCTCAACGCCACGCTCTCGTCGGTTGACTACTTTATCAACTACGGCTCGCTCGCCGGTGAGTGTCCGTGCTACCACTCTATCACTTCAGGCTCGCTCGACGCTCAAGGCGGCACCCGCGACTCGATCGCCATCCCGCTCAACAACTGTGGCAACGCGCCCGGGCACGGCAAAATCTACATCGCCATCCGTGGCACAGACCAGGCCTCGCAGTACTCCAAGTACATTGTGAGCTATGAGATCCACGAGGCGTACGTCCCGCGCCGACTTTCAGCCGGCACGACCCACGATCTGGTGCCTGTCGGCGACTCCGTCCAGTACTGGGAGGCCACCCGCCCGCCTTCAGACGCCTTCCTCCGTGTTGCCATGAGTGGCGGCATCGGCGGCGTTGTGGTCCTCGTTGACGACGCCGAGAATCCCGGGTGTCGTCCCTCGCAGAGCGTCGGCTACTGTCTCCCTGAGCTCGGCCTCGGCTCCGAGTGTCTGGTCGTTGTACCACCGTGCGAGCTTGCGTCGACCTCTTCTGTCGTTCTCGCTACCAGCGGAACCGCAGCTGCAGGCTATGGTCTGCAGTACTCTTACGTCCACCCGCAGGTTGTCCGCCTCTCGTCGGGGCGGCCCGAGGCTGCACGCCTCGGCTACGGGGTGCCCGCGCGGTACAGCATCAATGTGCCCAACAATGCGTTCTCGTCGGTCGTCATCGAGCTCTACCTTGATGCCGGGCAGCAGGGAACGGCAACAATGTACGTCTCCCACGGCGAGGTGCCCGGCGCCTCTCCGTGCTTTGACGCCCAGCACGAGTGCTCCACCAGCGAGCGCTGCGCTATCGTGTTGGACCCGTGCCAGGTCGCTCCCGGCGACTACTACATCGCGCTCCACTCCGAGTTCAACCAGGCCAACATCGCCGACCTCGGCTACACCATCAAGGCCACCGTCAGTGACGCAGTGGTCAAGGCCTCCGGCCCGGCCCCGTTCTCGGTCTCGCTCTTCGAGTCGCAGGTTGTTTACGTCACCTACGAGACCTCGGACGTCGCCAGCAAGCACGGCTCGGTCTACTCGGTCGAGGTCGGCAACGTGGCCGATGGCAGTCTTGCCATTGACATGTTCTACGGCGCGCCGCAGGAAGACTGCAAGTGCCTCGTCTATGCCCAATCGCAAAGCCTGTCGACGTCGACAGCCTTTGGCTACTTTGACGTCGACTACTGCCAGGTCAACTCGCGCTCAGTGGTGACTTTCAAGCTAGAGGCGACTACCGTCAAGTCAGCGCCGCAAACGCTGCGCCAGCTTGGCGCTACTCTCACCTTTGCTGATCGTCAGCACACCGTTGTTCCGATTGAGGTTGGCGTCGCCTCGGACGCGGTCTCGCTCGCCAACCGGCAGTACGTCATGTACCAGGTCACGTCCGCTAAGCCGGTCCTGGCCGCCGCCACCTCGCCGCCGCCGCCGCCCGCGGTGCCCAAGATCACCACCGTTACTGTCGACAACGTCTCGCCGTACCAGGCTGGTGTGATCGAGGTCTGGGCCGGGTTTGACTCGCCTGCCACCGCCTCCTGCTCGCTTCGCAGCCTTTGCTCTGGCGTTTCCAACTGCTCGGTCCAGATCTCGCCGTGTGAGGAGAACATTCACGCGGGCAAGCCGCTCTTTGTCTCGGTCCGGGCGACGACGGCGACCACAACGCCGGTGACGGTCACGACCATGGTGTCCCAGGATGAAGTGCGCAAGCTCGCGCCGAGTGCGACGCAGACCATCACTCTCCAGGCTCCGCGGTCAACGGTCGTGGCACTCGACGCGGTCCTCGCCGTCAACTCGGCGTTCCGGGTCGTCGGCCAGAGCGTCGTCAACGGCGACGTGCGGCTGCGGATGCTGCCTTCGCTCTGCCAAATCGGCGATACGAGCCAGTCTTGTGTCATCCTCGACGGCGGGGAGTCATGCTCGATCTCAGCCTCGCCGTGCACTGCATACATGTCGCCGGACACCGCAGGCACCTTTTATGTCAGCGTCGAGGCGCTCAAGGGTTCCCCGAGCGTTACGCTCGAGTTCCAATCTGCCGTCGTGCAGACTACGAGCCTGTCCCAGGGCGTGAGTCAGTCGGGCACTCTCCTGCCGCAAGCATGGACCTCGTACTACATGACCACGACGGGCTTTGGCCTGGCCAAGACTCAGCGGCTCGCCATCACCGTGACGCCGACCTCGGGCGCGAGCGACCTCAAGGTCTATCTCCGCAAGGGCGAGCTGGCCTCCAACTACGTCTGCGCCTCGGCCGAGTGCGAGACCAGCAAGGAGACGAGCGGCAAGTGCGAGATGGCGGTCGGCGCGTGCTGCCTCGAGCCAAACACCAACTACTTTGTCTCGATTCTCAACGCGCACCAGGTGGGCACAGACGGCACCACCTTTGACATTGTTGCCACCCAGACATCGGCGGCGTCGACGCCGCAGGCGCTCCAGCTCACGCCCAACCCGACAACGGCTCAGCTCCAGCCGCAGGTCTACTCCGAGTACTCGTTCTCGCTCGACGGAACGGCAGAGTACGGCTCCTCGGTGACGATTGTGGTCAACACGACCGAGTTTCGTGGCAGCGCCGTCGACGTCTTTGTGGCCAAGGGCGAGGTGGCCGGCGCCGGGACGGTGGTGCAACCGGCCAACCCGCCAGCGTGCTTCACCTCGTTTGCGCAGTGTGAGGGCAAGGCCGAGTGCGTGGTGCAGCTCTTTGCCGAGTGTCATGGTGTCGACGGCGTGCCGACGCTGACCCAAGGCACCTACTACGTCGCAGTGCGGCCGAGCACTGGCGGCGCGCCGCCGCCACAGAGACAAACGCCTGCTCGGCCACCGGCCACTCCGACGCGTACTTGCTAATCTCGCAATACTCGACCACGATCTCGCTCGGCTGCTGTTGGCACTCCCGTGAGCACCACTGTTGCGCCAGGCGTCAACGCCCAGTTTGTGAGCGAGGTTGTGGCGCCAAACGCACCGTACACGACACTCGAGCTCGACGTCGCTCTTCACACCACCGGCGGCTCTGCGCAGGTGTATGTCAACACCGGGCCGTGGCTCTCGGCCGGACCTGCCAAGCCGTACTCATCCGGACCTGCGGGCGTGGCGCTTGCCGGCCTCGCCTCTACTTCGGCATGCTTTAGCGCATCGCCTGCGGTCGGCACCACTTGCACGGCCGGTACGCCGTGCAAGATCAGCGTGCCGCTCGCGTTCTGCGGCGGTATGATGGTCCGGGTCGGCGTGGTGGGAGGAGCAGGCGCGTCGACCGACGTGACGCTCACGCTTACCGCCAGTGGTAGCTCAATCATGCTGGCATCGGGTGCGACAGTGGCGCTGCCGGCAGCCTCTGGCGACACGTACTACGAGATTCTGCGCGAAGAGCTCGAGTACGCGGTGGTGGCTGTCGGCGCCAACTCGGATGTCACAGTCGCAACTTCGGGTGAGCAGGTCTGCTTTGGCCTCGGCCCGCAGTTCCCGAGCCTCTCGTGCACGACGTCGACCAATGGGACGTGCTCCAAAGTGCTGACGGTGTACGAAACGAGCTACAACTCGGTGTGGTTCAAGGCGACGGTTGCAGGCACGGCGCCGCCGACGCCGCCACCCAGCCTAACTGTGACCACACGTCCGCTGCCTATCGTGCCGCTAGCGGCGGATGGAACGATCCACCAGCTGTACGGAAAGGCCGAGACTGCGGTGGCGTATGCGTTTGAGGTGCCGGATGGCTGGGTCGCTCCCGGCCAATCGCTTGTCCTGAGCGTGGGTGCGCCAAGCTGCGGCAGCATGAGCGTGTACGTGTCAGCGGATGAGATCGGCGGTCAGCTGCAGTCGATGCAGAGCTGCAGCAGTGGGTGTAACGTGACGCTCGCAAGCGCATGCGGCGCCCTCAGCAGTTCGGTCTCGGGGCGGACATACTACGCAACCGTTGTTCTCGAGTCGACCGACTTTCCGCAGTATGCCGAAGTGGAGACGGTCTTCAGCCTCCAGCTCCGGCGCGAGGGCGACGTCACCAGCTTTGGCGCGCTGTATCTTGGCGGGGCGAGCCCGGCTGCCGATAGCTCCGGCCAGATGCTGAGCTACACGTACGGGCTGACCGGTAAGGTTGTGTCGAACTTTGAGTCGCTTGTGGTCAAGCTGGCGCTGCCGGACGACGCGCGCGGGGTCGGGGCTCTGACTGCAGCAGTGGGCACGCCTGTGCGCGGCTGCGCAACGTCGCCCAAGAGCTGCACAGTCCAGGTTGGCGAGCGCGAGTGCTCGATCTCGTTTGCGGTGTGCGAGCTGCAGCCGGCGGCGACGGCGCTCGACGCGTTGTACGTGACAAGCTACGAAGTCGACGGAAGCGGTCAGCTGGCAAATGCGTCCATTTGGCTCCTTCCGGACTTTGGATTTGTGCAGGAGATCCGTCGAGACAGTGAGTTTAGTGGAGTGATTTACTCGACGTCGAGCGAGGCGTATGTGGTGCCGCTGGAGAACAACCGGCTTGTGGATGCGCCCGAGTTCCAGCTCTCGCTGGCTCTGGAGACGTTTGGCATGCCCGGCGTGCTTGGACTTGCGGCGGCAGCGAAGCCGTCGCCGCAGTGCGTGACGCCTGCAGGCTCGCTGCCGAGCGAGATCGTGGTCGAGTATTGCGAGATTAGCAAGTACGCGTCGGAGTGGCCGGTGGCCGAGCAGGCGTTTGTCTCTGTGGTCGCCAACGCGCCGGGCAGTGCCGAGCTTGTGCCGTATGCACTGAGCGCGCAATTTGCGCCCGAAGTGATACGGGTGGGCGCCGGGCCAACGTGCTACACTATGGGGGAGAGCGGGACGATGTACTTTGAGTCGACGCTTGCGCGCGGCGCGGTTCGGCTGTGGGCCAATGTGACGAGCTCTGCAAGCGACGTCACGCTGCATGTCAACGTGGGCCGGCTGGCGTCGGCCACGTGCGGCTACGTGTCGTGCAACGTGGCGAGCGGGGCGTGGGAGGGCAACTCGTGTGTGGCCGAGGCCGAGTGCCCCCTGCTCCAGCCTGTGAGTGGAAAGCATCTGCCTGGTTTCATGACGGTGAATGCGAGTCCGGGCACCAAGTTTGTGCTCTCGTCCGGGGTGGTGGCGCTCAAGTCTATCCAGAAGCGGGTGGTGATGGCGGAGCCGCTGCAGATCGAGGGCGCTGGCGAAGCGGACGTGTACTACGAAGTCTCGCTTCCAAACGAGGTGCGGTCGGCGACGACGGCGCTGGTGGTGTGGGCCGTCGGGCTGGACGATGTGACGTACTCGGCGTATCCGTTCCCGACCAATGGCGAGCAGTGCGGGATTGCCGGCGAAGCATCGATGGCGACGAGTTGCGTCGGATCCGCTGGGCTGGAGCGGGTGTGCTACGCCATCGAGCCGTGCTCGTGGTCTTCGGGTAAGATCTGGCTCCACCTCAAGAAGACGGCGCCGCTGACAAGCTGGCCGTACAACGAGACGTTCACGGCGGCGTGGAGCGTCGCCGTAAGCGTGGTCGACTACGTTAACCTCGGTGCGGCGCACGCGCTGGATCCGACTGGGGCGAGCGTGGAAGTTGTGGGCATGCCCGGCAAGCTGGCTGCGTTTGAGGTGGATGTGAGCAAGGTCGATGCGTTCCGCGAGCACCTGCATTTTGCAGTGAGTGGGCTCAACGCAGGCAGCCTGTGGAGTGCGGTGTATGTGACGCCGATCGACGGTGCGGGCCACGGGTGTGCGCCGGTTGGTGATGGCGCCGGAGTTGTGACGACGACGGGCGGTAGAAGTCACAACCTAACGGTGCCGGTCTGCCGGTTTGCGGCAACCAAGTACTACGGGCTTGTGCTGCCGCTCACGGGAGCGACGACCGAGTGTGGGACGGTGTCGTACACGATGGGCGCGCGAGTGGAGACGCATCTTCCTGTGACTCAGGTGAGCGCCAAGCTCGGGCAGAACGTCGGAGTGAGCCTCAACGGCGGCGGCGCCGGTGTGACAGTGCAGTACGACCGCAGCGCTGGTGGGTGGCTCAACGAGCAGGCGCTGGTGGTGGATGTGGCGCCCAAGAGCGGCGTTCAGATCCATGGCTCTGTCATCCGGCAAGGCGGGCTGGAGCCGGACTACGAGCTGTGCGAGGTGGCGCTGGAGGGCAGTCAGTACGTGACGGTCATTCCGTCGTGCCTCATTCGGGCATCGAACAATGCCGAGTCGCAGGTTATGGTGCGGGTGTTTGGCGAGTCGAGCGTGATTGCTACGGCGCCTGCGCTGGCCAACGTGACGGTGCGTGCGGCGCGGTACGAGGTAATGACGTCGGGCCGGACGTACAGCGGCGAGCTGGGATGGCGTGAGGGCGACGCAAGCTGGCTCGACACCAAGCTGTATCAGGCCAAGATCAGCGGCGGAGCGTCCACAGGAGTGGTGGTCGACGTTGGTGAGGGCGGTGGCAAGGTGATGGTCGAAGTGCGACCCGGCGGGTGCTTCAACGACTACAGCGCGCCCGACAAAGGCTCGGGGTACATGGAGAACTCGGCGGTGTTCGAGTGCTACGGCGGTAGGTGCGTGTTTTCGTTTGATCGGCTGTGGACAACACCGACAGCAGCAGGCCAGAGCGATATGCTGTACAACATCCTCGTGCGTGGCGCGCGGACCAAGTACAGCCTGACGGTGGGCAACGGGCGGGGCAACTGCGGCAGGCATCGGTCGGCGTTCTGCGGCGCGGCCGCCAACTCGTGGCGGTGGCTTGACGATGCATCGCAGAACGACGGCGCCGAGCAACTGTTCACCAAGCTCTACTGCGCCTTCCACAAGTGCGGCTCGCAATGTCCTGTCGAGGTGAGCAAGCGGTGCAACGATACGCTGCGCGCGTTCGCTTGCGCGACAACGTACCCCGGATGCGATAGCCACGGCCTTCTCACGCCGCCGTGCCTCTCGCTCTGCACAGCGGTGGAAAAGGCTTGCGGCGAGAAGTTTGCGGCGGTCAGGCTGGAGCAGTACGACTGCACACATAACTACTTTACGCAAAAGGGCCCGTGCACTGGGCTGCCGTCGACCGGCGCTGGCTCCAGCGGGCTCTCTGCGGGACTCATCGTCCTCATTGTCCTTTCAGTGCTGGTGGTGCTCGGCGCGGCCGGTGCGGCAGTCGTCTGGTTCCTCCGGCGGCGGCAGCGGAGTGATGGCTACGAGCCCGTGCCGAGCGACGAGGCGATCAACGCGCCGACACCGACGCCTGTCAACGACCCTGGCCCGCCTCCTGCCGGCGAGGTGGTGCCGGCCGAGGCCTGAGTAAACATCAGTCTTTTACAGTTGCTCGCCAAGGGTGCTAAAAGGCAGAGGCTCCGAGACTGCCGATGCATTGCGAAGACGGAGGAAGAACGTGGTGCCAGGAGGAGGGAGCGGGAGGACGACTGAGGTGGCGCAGCCACCGTAGATAGGGGCGTAGCCCGGTGATGCTGGCGAGGTGGCGACAACTTCATAGACCCAGCCTGCATCCACAAGGGCCGCATCCAGCGGCTCCCAAGAGAGAGACGCAGACTCACGGACGTCGTCAATGGCGATATGCGGGTTGGCGGTGGGCGGTGTAGGCGGCGTCGAAGCCGGTGCTGGCGCCACCGCGTCGAGAATGACGCACTCGTCGTCCGACTCCCAGTCGTCGTCGTCCGAGTCAGAGGCGACATCGAGGGCAAGGGGTGCGGCGGCCGGCGGAGAAGGAGCGGCAGAGAAGCCACCAATACCGCCGGTGGCGGCAAAGCTGGCGCCAATGCTAGGACCAACGTCTAAACCATACCAAGCACCAGAGGCGGAACCAGCACTGGCACCAAAGCCAGAACCGGCATCTGACCACGTTGTGCTCGAGGTCGGAGGCGGGGCAGGGCTGTCGAAAGCGAGCGGGTCGGCGACGGCGGTAGGAAAGGCGCCCAGGTCGGAGGCGAATGAGAGCTCCTCTTCGTCATCATCCTGCTCTTCAGACTCGGGCTTGGCCTCGGGCCTGGCCTCAGATTCGGGCTCGGGCTCGGTATCCTCGACCTTGGCTGCGACTCCAATAGAGGAAACGGCGCGGGCGTCAAAAAGGTCGTCATCGGCAGTATCATCGCCGGCAGCATCGTCATCGTCATAGAAAAGGTCATCGTCGCTCGAGGTGACGGCACGGGAGGAGGAACGCGGCGCGAGTGCGGCTTGCTTGTCAGATTTGCCCGAGAAGACTGTGGTGACCTTGGCGATGGTTGAGAAGAAGCGATGCGAGAAGGAAGGCTTGGGTGCAGCCGCCAGGACAGATGATGACGAGGCGGCAATGTCCTGGGACTGGACCGTGAGCTCTTCTGCAGCGGATGAGCCCAGCTCGTTGATCTCGTCCAAGTCATTAAGCACGGCCGCGAGTCGAGCTGAGGCGGCAGCATGGGTGGCAGCCACGTCGGACCCCGAGGGTGAGGATGAACAGGGGGCGTCGGAAGCGTCGGAAGCGTCGGAGACGTCGGAGGCGTCGGAGACAGAGTCTGCAACAACCTCTTTGGGCGCAGCAGGTGGGCCAGGCACGGAGATGTCGCGGCGAGAAACAGCAGGGCGGCCATGGCGAAGGACCTGGGAAGGGGAGGCACCAGGGCTACGGCCACGGCGGCTAGGGGGGGCGCGGCCAGGGGGGGCACCCCCACCGCCAGCGCTGCGGCGGCTGAGTCTGCTGCTGCGGGGAGAAGAGGCA